TATATAACATGGCGCTAACACTTCATACATTCATTCATCATTTCTAACCATTTGTTGATACTAAATTTGCATACATTTTAATAAGCATTGATTAAGGTACTTAGAGCGTAGTTACTCTAAGAATCAGAGGAGAAACCAAAATTATTACACACTCCTATATCTTGGATTTCCTTGATTTTATTTATTTCAATTAAATTTTAGGTAACTTATAGACTGAAGGTATATATTTTGTTTATTAGCAGAAAATACTTCTAAATTTAATTTTAGTTTTGCTTGTCTTGCATGTTAGTACCATAAAACTATAAAATAAAACAAGAAAAAACGTTAACTTTGCTTGCACCGAAACTATAATACCCTTAACAAATACAGAAGATTTCATACAAGAACTTGATTGTGATCGTTCAGTTTGTATGGCAGCTATATGATATAGTGATCTGATCTGAATGATTTCTTTGGTAAAGATATTTCGTCAAATAAACATGCTTTCCATACAAGCACTTGATTCCGATCGTTCAGTTGTATAGCAACTATATGCTATAGTGGTCCGATATCGGTGGTTCCGACAAATGAGTAGTTTCTTGGAAAGAAAAGGACGTGTGCGAAATTTCAGATCGATCAAAGACAGAGGGACGGACAGACAAAGCTAAATAAACTCAGCTCATCTGCTATGCTGATCCTTTCCTTTTAGGTGTTACAGACTTCGTGGCAAATATAAAATACCCTGTTCGCTTGCATAAACCGAGATTAAGTTAGAAAGAATTGTACAATCCTTCAAATGGATCTCAATATGTATCTACACATAAGAATTTCTTTCTTACTTAGTTTTTTTAACACAATGACATGCCACAAAGAGGACTTCTACTTATGGCTCAAGCTAGCTCATACAACTCTAAGATAGTGCCAAATCTGTTTTTGTTACCAGTTCAGTTTCAGTTTATCTTAAACGATGATATTTCCCGTTTGTTTCCGACCAAAACGTTGATTGACATTGCCTTAAATTGGTGCGTAAGGATAACAATATTAATAATAGTCAATATCCAATCGGTTTAATATACATTCAGCTAACATTCAGCTATAAGACAATTTCCTGGGGTATTAGTGCAGCGAGTGTGCTCAAAAGGAAACCGGCAGGTTTTCAGGGAATGCACAATATTTTACTTGCCTGGAAGTCCACGTCCTTATAAGTACTCATTCATTCCACCTGCTTCTCGACTATTATATAATATTATCCGCACAAGCTAACTTCAGATAAGAGTATTGCTAAACAGTTATGCTTTAGACGTCTTCTCGTTTTCTCTACAATCACCTAAGTGATGTTGATAGAGTTCAAAAAGCTCGCCAAGGAATCGCTATCATTAACAATTATCTGAGGTACAGAGCATGAAATCATTCGTAACATTATACGCTGTCTTGTTCTGTTTTATGCGTAATAATCTATATCTTTAGCGTAATCTTCATCTCAATAATGCTTTTTTTCGATAATATTTTTTACGTTATCCGCTAAGTATGGATTTCGGCAAAGACAAAGTCCTAAAATATTACGAAAATCGCAACTCATATCTACGGATTGGGAGTTGCGAAGTGGTAGTATATGTACATTTAAATATTAAAAAATACGTTCATAAAGCTTCGAAAGAGCTCACGTTCAGGTTGTTTTTTAAACTTTCTGCTATGTGATACGTTCTTCACATGGACCATTAATTTAAGGTCGGCTATCTACTTTTCTCAGAAACCTTCTCATTTCTGACCACAGTCATATTTAGCCATTATCTTCTAATAGACATAGTTTTTGAAAAAACTTGATTCTAGTGGATGCTTGAACCGAACCACGAAGTGGTAGTGTCACGTCCGAACACCTAACCACCCACACGTTCTAACGTTATAAATTCCATCACAAAATACTATACTTACATATGCTTATCAATCCGTATTTTATACATTTACGCAGTAATAATGTTTATACAATGTAAATAAACAAGAAATAACTTATGTACTTACGCCTTAATTTGGTAAATATGTGTAGAAATATTTACTTAGGTATAAACGGCAATTTGTTGCGCCAAATAACTTAATCGACCCACATGCATCATAATTTAAGGGCGAAAATGTGAATAAAAATTGCGGTTTAAACCGGAACTTGAGCATTTATGGCAGCAGACACATGCCATGTCCATGTTCTGTACACCATTTAATACCTTCCGGCTTTCCTTTCCCTCTATCGTTCGGTGGCTGAATGCTGACCGACGTTTATTCCATCGCGTGCAAATCACCCGGCGCTAATTGTTGGGCGTTAATACTCGTAATACATGCATCCTAATACATATGTATATGTATAATGGTATGTATTAGTATGTGTAGGTGTGTGTCCTTTACAAACTTTAACACCATGTGACGCTATGCTGATAGGCTCTCCAATAATTTGCATATTGAAATATTAACTTCGAGCAAAGTTTCAGTTAAAGCAGGGAGGCTCAAATGAAATTCATGAATTGAAAAAAATGTGTGAAAACAACAATAAGACAATTAAATATAACTTATGAAAACTCTCGTAGGAATGTGGATAATAGATATTGAAAGTGAAAAATAACCTGGAAAAAAACATAAATTTCAAATAAAATCAAAAGAATATAAAAACGAAATATACAGCGATCATCGTTAATTTGTTTGACAAGCTTCGTCATTCGTATCTCCACAATGTTCGAAATATCTCAAAATGTTCCGAGATAATAAATAATCAAATCCTCTAATACTAACCAAAATCCATCCAAATCAAATTGTATCGTTTATTTGGCAATAAGACTTAGTATATGTACGTCAAGCCCTCATTACGGGTTTTGATATGAGGACTACGCCTAGTTAAGTAGGTAGGTCCAAGTTAGACATGTCAAAGTTTAAGGAATATTGTGAGCTTTTAAAAAGTTTGCGATATTGCGTACATTAGGCTATCAGCTTTTGGTAAAAGTATGGTGGAAATAAAAGCTAGTGGTTAAAAATTTCACTACCAAAGGTTCCGAAAAAGATAATTGTCCCGGTGATAAATGGTATGAGTGACAAAAACGAAGCGTTCGATTTCTAAGAGTAATAAAAGGAGCACATAGGAAATGTTCATAGTTCAGTACTGCTTTACGAATAAAAAAAATTCATACAGATACAATCTCGTGCTTTTTCCTACACGTTTATACAAAATTCATAGAGACTTAAGAGGTTAGCCACGCTTAACTTAACCACTTATTCTGGGAGTAAGGACAGAAGAATCAATTTCTCTCTTTCAGGCTTGATTAATGTGTTCGAGTGTGTATAAAAAGAGGCTTCTATAGGTAACGGTGATTATCAATCGTATTGAAGATAACTATCCAATAAAAAAGTTGCCCATACAAGAACTTGATTTTGATAGGTCAGTTTGTATAGCAGTTATATGCTATAGTGATCTGATATCGATGATTACGACGAATGAACAGTTTCTTCGGGGAAAAAAGGACTTGTGCAAAATTTCAGATCGGCATCTCAAAAACTGAAGGACTTGTTCGAGTATATACAGATAGAGGGATATGGTAAAAGCCACTCAGTTCGTCACGCTGATCATTTATATATACACTTTATAGAGTCAACGACGTTTCCTTCTGCGTATTACAAACTTCCTTACAAAATTAATTAACCCTGTGCAGGGTATAATTACTTCTGATAACTAAATATACATACATAGCTCTGCACCTTTTCATCACAAACCACTTCCTCGCAAGTTTCATGGGGCTTAAAAATATGTTTATGTAATGTACCCAATACTAATTTTAATATAACTGCTCAGATACTCTTACTGGCAAAACATAACCGCAATATATTTACTGTTATTTGTATGTAGAGATAATAGAACTACAAAATTCTGGTCTACTATTAAGTTTGTATAGTCGGAAAATGCAAAAGTAAAGCATACGAAGAGGTAACGAAATGTTCTAATAAACATGTGACAAAAGGCAAAAGGTTGTTCTGAATTGAGTTTCTTGTAATGCAATATGTCACTTTGGGTCCGTCATGCCTTTATAAACATATTCTTCTTTCCTTGTTTATTGTTGTGGATTTTCTTTGTTTTGTAACGTATTGTGTAATTTCACTTTCACTGAATGTAAAAGAACTTAAATGACAATGCAAATAATGGCCTTACCACAACCGTCATGTTAAGACCGTTAAATAAATGTGCTTAAGCTAAGGGTGGTTAAATCAAGGCTTCTTTCTTGCGGCTTATAATGTTAAAGAATTCGAAGTAAGATATTTACAAATAGGGTATGTTATTAAAATATAAAGGATTTAGATACTGTTATTGTAGTAATATTAATCAGTTAATCAAAAGAGCAAAACTTAAGTGTTGCCACTTGTTTTAACGATGAAGGCAATCATCTCAATTATATGAGCGTTGCTTTTCTAGGATATTTAGTGGAAAATTATAGTTGTTAAACGCTATTTTTGAGCAATTTAAAATAAAAATTCTATTTTTGAGACCCTTGGCTAATTATTAGTAAATTTATATATGTATTGTATATTATTCCCAGTACTTTCATATCCTTCTAAATAACAATGCAACAAATTATTCTTTCGACCACTTATTTTCTAGACTTAAAACTATATTATTTCCAAAAATATATTATTTAATATGTTTAATTTTAAAAAACTTATTTTTTAAGACATGACAAAACTAAAAATTTTCCTCCCCATTGTTTGACCCTTTAATATTAAATATTAAGTTTTTTGCTATTGTTTAAAAAATACATGCAAAACTTTTTTGGATCACCCTTTACATTCCACAAAATTGTCCACAACACAGCTCAAAATCATAACTTTCATCGATCATTATTGATTGGTTTTACTTAGATTCGTATATTCAATACATATATCTGTCACTCATTCTTCTCCCTCCACATACGTTTGTCTCGCTCATCCTTACTTATGATACATAGGAATGACATGCGTTGCTATGAGAATGCGTAATTTGTAGGGCATTTTGTATGTTTTCCGTAGAGCTTAGCGCTTAGTTAAAGACGTGGTTTGCTGTCAAGACGTTCTCGAAACACATTTCGCGGGTTTTCGAAATTATACACAACACATTGAGTACAGCAAACAAGCTTTTAAAATTTAGACCGAACATGGACACGGACAGTGAGCGCGAGCGAAGTAGTGATCCCAATCTATTAACCAGCAGCGATAATCATACATTTCATGACGACGACGATGATGAGGATGACGACGACGCTGACTCTTCAGCGCCAGAATATGGCGAGGATATTGGTGATATGAGAGACATTGATTTCGGTTCTATCAGTGATGTCGTGACACATGCCGGTAGTGATGTATATGACATTGATGATGATGATGACGATGATGATGACGACGATAATGACAACGATAATGGACGCACTGAGAGAACATGTCTTTTAGTTGCAGACGCTTATAAAGGCCGCCGAAATAGACGGTCGAGGAGTAGGCAACACGTTAAAAGAAGACTACAGCAATCGCTTGAGCGTGAGAAGACAATCTCACTTAATACAACCAAGATAAGGAATCACAACAAAAGTATTAACGCGACAGGAAAATATACTTCGGAAGAGGACGAAGAGAAAGTACCGCTGAAACAAAGCAGCTGTAATGAAAGGCAATACGAGCAGAACGAAACCGATTTAGGCGAATCTGTTGGCGCAAAAAAAACCACAGACAGTTATGAATCGGCGGAAGTTTATACCGTAAAAGTAATAAAAATTAGTGGTAATCTAGGTGATAGCTCTGAAGAGGACGAAGACATCGAAGAACCCTTTAAGAGTCTAGACGGTCCTGACGACGATGCAAAAAACTTTGACGAAACGAAATCAACAGCCCAGGTGAAACTAAATGTTCAGCCATCAAAACTTGTATGTGATGCCATACAAGTGTCTGAAGAAATCAATGCTAAATATAATGAACGTGCTGTCCACTTAGAAGAGCTAACAGATTGCGCTGTGCCGACGGCTGCTCATGCAAGTTTTGAATTGTTTGAAGAAACGACTGATATTAATAGAAAAGAAACAAAAGAAGAATCTGCAAGAGACACGAGCGAGGAAAACGACAATATCAAGGATTACCAACTAAAACAGTTTCCAGAAATAGAACAGCATCTGGTACTAGATTCCGTCAAAAACGTCAACGACGAAGGTGATAACGACAGCTGCGGCGGTGACGACCGTAAAGGTTCGCAATGCTTAACTACAGCAACAAAAGCAAACGCAATCAACAACGAGAACAACACGTCTACTACAAACATCGGCAGCGTCTTGGCGGACGAAGAGAATTGGCGCGATAGTGTACGCGAATCGATTGAGTGTTACTACTCGGCACAGGATCTGCTTGAGTACGGACATCTCTTGAGTAGTGGCCTTAAAACACCAGACATTGAGTCTGGTTATTTTGAAAAATCCGAATCGGATATATCACGTGATGAGACCGAGGTGTATACGAATAATTTAAGCAATAGGCTAAAACAACGCTCATTTTCGAAATCGTATAATACACAATTAACCAATATGTCCGAGAGTTTACGTTTCGAATTGAATCGTTTTAAAACGATGATCGAATCGATCGAACGTGAACGCATTTATGGCCAAACGACGCAAACGAAAGAGAATACGTTCGAGTCGGTCACGAAAGCAGAAGAGAGTTATAATGTTGATATGGAGGCCGAGGTATCGGCAGCGGCAGATGCAGTTGCAGACGCGGTATCGATAACAGTTACCGGTGTCGAAACTGCCGAAGCGACCAACGCAATGGATGTGGACGAGGAAGAAGAAATGGATGTGGAGGGTGCGGTGGGCGGCGACGATGTCACCCGTGGCTATTGGTCTACCATTTTCGGACAAGCTAGTCAAATAGAGGAGACCATGCCGGAAATGACGCTTGACGAACGCTTTGCGGATATACAAAGTATGCCAAACTGACTTTTTTACAAAAACACAATCATAAATTTAGTTTTTTTCACAACTGCACCCACTAGCTTCATAAATAAATATAATATATAGGAAATATATTATAGTTATAAGCATTTAATCTATATGCCGTAAATAAATCAAGGTAAATAAGCGCTTTCGCTATTAAACTGTCCGTCCTCTCGACAACTAAATATCTAAGCTTTTAGTGCATTCACACACACATTCACACATACACCCTTTCTTTCATTCTCTCTGTTCAACACATTGCATGTTAAAATTTACAGTATTTTCTGCTTCTAACCTTACTTTCTCTACTATTGCAGAAGCACATCGTGCCCTTGAATTATTAGAGGATTATCACTCCAGACTATCAGAACCGCAGGATCGTGCACTGCGCATAGCCATCGAACGGGTGATACGGATTTTCAAATCACGCTTATTTCAAGCCTTATTGGGTATGTATTCCTATCAAATATGTATTTTACCAGTACCTGTAGGAAAATGCTATTTGAAACAAATTTATTATCTTGAAGAAAAAGTTTATTCACAATTTTTTATAAAAACTACTGAACTCAATTATGACAAGCATATTTTTTTCTTAGTAAAATGTTAATTTTGAACATACTAGACCCTTAGCGACTTTCCAATAAATGTTCCATAATTTTCGAATGTTTGTGATATTCTTGATTAAGAGTATTTATTTTAAACAATTTTTTTTACGAATCTGATATTTTTAGATTTAAGACTATTAAATTTTTTTTTTTAACTTTTCATAAATTGTATCTATGTTAAAAGTGAGCACGAAAATATTCTTCAATGGCGGTCGAAAACGAAACGAAGCTTGTTGCTAGTTTTCTCTGTACTATAATTAAGGCAAAATGAACTAGAAAATTTAAAAGCGATTTTCAAAGTTTTTACCTACAGGGTTTGTAGGGTCTGATTGAACAGCACCGTTAGATTAACACGGGTAACGGTGGATAAAAATATTTATTTGAATTTCAAGGCTCTCGATTTTTTTACATTTTGAAACGTTGCCAGACAGAAGAAAACTTTTCTGTATTTTACATTTTTAAACTGGATATTTAGTCAGAGTTAGGTATGCTCTTGAAAATCCTTAAGGACCCAACTTTAGATTAGCTTCCCCGGTCTTTCAGTGACCTTGTTAAACAAAAGTGTTCAATCAGTAAACTTTGGAATGTTTGTCCAGTAATCAGATACATGAGATGGTAAGAAGTTTTACTCCCAATGACAATTATAGAGTCATTAGTTTTGAGAAATAGAAGCCTAAAATGTTATTTAATTATTTGTGAGTAGCATTTTTAATTTTCTATATTTTTTTAAATTGCTTCATCTTTAAAACATATAATCTAGCCTTAATTCCTTAAACAATCGAAGTGGTAGTCCTTGGCCGGATAAAAATCTGAGTCCCCTACATATAAATAGACCTCACTTTCATCCCAACAATATGTGCAAAATCTTATATATAACATTTTAGATCAGTGGTATGCACCCTTAAGAATGTGTCTTTAGCCATCGTCATAGTAGAGTACTCACTAATTCCTAAATAGAACAAAGTAAAACTTATTTGCAGGTATAGAGTGATAAGTAACAAGTCGTCATCCGAGAGGGTTTGCTATTATAAGTTTTCCTTCGAGGTCATTGAAGAGCATAATGCGATTTCCTAACGGGAAATGACGACCCATCACATCGTGCATTGTGCATAAGTTTATCGATTATGGATTTCACCCACTTTTACCTTCACCTCGGCATGCATGCATACAACAGTGTTGCACTTTACTCGTCCTATGGCAATCAGCATTATTACAGGGCTGATGCACGAGGCCACGTACACGTATTTGGGTCATCGCTTTTAGACGTGCAACGCTCTCACAACGGTACAAATGAATGGAACGGATGCAATTCTCACATACACACGCATGCACGTACATTTCTCTGTGTGTTTTTGTGCGATGGGTATTCCATACAAACTTTCATACAAAATGGGCGGCTGTATAATTGTGATGATTCCGAGTGCTATGTTGTTTATTTAGCTTATTGCTATTGCTGTTGTTGGTTGGTTAGCTGTCAGTTGCAGTTGCTGTTAAGTTTATTGTTGCGGCGTTTATCTCATGACACTACCGAAGCGCTGACTTTTGAATAGATGTGTTTTCCAATTCAATTCTGTTGAGGTTTGAAACACTTTTGATTAAAAAAGTAACCAATCAATCTGCTACATCAGTGTCAGTTGCTGAATTTGTGTCGGAATATGTCTGTATTAGAATAATTACGCACTCGGCCATCGAACGTGGTTCTTTAAAATGTAGTTAAACTTATTTGAATGGTTTCAGACAGTGTTCGATTCTAGTTTCGTAAGACTGTAGCAGTCGAACTTAGCCTTGAATCGCTGCACCGCCCTATTTTTTCATTATTTTCTAGAAGTAGACAACACACCAGTCCCTCACAATTCTCCAGGAACCAAAAAAGTTTGAACAGCTGCTTGTAATCGTCGAATAGCAAAGTTCGAGGACGTCAGACATAACGACAAAATTTCTAAAACAGTGTGATCGGTAAAAATGCAGAAATATCATTGATTATTGTTATTCTAACCATTTTTAAAAAATTGATTTAAATTTGGTATTAATATTGGAAGTGTACTTTTGTAGAATTATGAATGCCTTAAAAGGCGGTGTCACGTCTTCAATAAAATTAATTGAAGTTATTGACTTAATCTAGTTTGGACAGATAAAACAAAAAACATTTTCATTTATTTTGTTGCAAATCTTCATTAACGCCTTGAAAATATGCTCCTAAGTCAATACTAGCATGTCAAAGTTTAATCCAATATCCCATACACTTGTTATAAGCCTCGGCTGGGATGGCCTTCAGCGAAAGACTTTTAGTGGCTCCAATAGGCGGGTTTTTTCGGTTGCGACTCATTTTTGGAACGCCATTCGCTAGGCTGTTGTACTCGTACAGTTTTGACCTCATATTTACAAACATAATGATGCGTTAGATGTTAGATCCTCAGTAGTTAAACAGTCGCACGATACAGGCGTCATGGAGTGAGGTATGTGGTAAAGTAAATCCCCACATATAAATGTTTAACTACCATTTATAGTATATGTGAGGACTTACGTTACCACATATTTTTTTTTAATACAGTTATGTTACACAACTTTCTTAAATTAATTAAAAATGAAACTTAAAATTTAAAAGTTTGTACGACTACGTAGTGTTGCACCCAAACCATGAATCAAATTGTGTTGAGTCGAACCATAAGAGATGTTGAGATCCTCTGCTATCCCTCTAATGCCAACGACGATTTTCAAGTACTGTTTCTTTCACATTTTTGATGTTATCGCCATTAACATAAGTGGATAAATGGCTCGCAAAAGGCAAGTTTTCACTGAAATACTTGTCATCGTGATAAAGTAGACTCCCTAAAACAATTCTACAACATTTTCAACAATTTCGTAGCCGTGATTCCAGCGGAAGCAAAAAATTTTAAGTTTACGGTAGCTAAGTTTCTACAAAGAGAGACACAAATATTGTATTATGTTAGTTCCTACTAGGGCTCTTAAAACTATGCGAATATCCTGAAACCCGATTATACGAATATCCGGTTTGTAATCGTTCGTATGAATATTAACCGAATAATATAATAATCGTAGTAGAACGACTATTCGGATAGTTGCTCTGCTGCGAGTATTTGATTAAATGAAAATTGTTTGAAATCCAAGCAGCCTTTGATTTGTGCACAAAATGTCATTAATAAATGTTTCACTTTTTTCAATAAAAATAAGAATATGAATGAACGCTTACTATCATTTCGATGCCTTATACGAAATCATATGGGAAACAATGATGCGCTTTTTAATTTTTTCATTTGTTTTGATTCTCCTTTCTTCTTAATATGAAACATGAAAATATTAAATTTTTTTTTCAAAAATACCAATTTGTTGCTTTTAATTTTTGCGTGTGGAAAAATTGAAATAATGCCGAAAGCCAGCGTCGAAAATCGGTTAAGAATTTAAAAATATTCCACGCACCAAAATGTGAATGCCGACGGGAGCAGTGGAGTTAGGCACTAAATTAAATTATTCTTCAAATGAATGACGCTGAAATTTCACTGAGATAATATAATTGACCGTTTAGTGCACTTGAGCGCACATTGTACATTGTCAAGAATTGTGAAATTTTTTTTTTCAAGTGTAAAGTGTGTTTTTATATAAAAAAACTTCAAAACAAATATTTAACAAAATAAATTTCCGTAGGTAATTTAATTCGAAAAAAACCTGTAAAATAAAATAAATTCTTCCTTCCGTACAATTTCTGTATAAGGCATTGTCATATCATGAACCGGATAGTCGACAATGAGCGGTTAATCGAATAGTCGACGACTTACGACTATCTGGAGAGTGCAAACCGAATATTATTATTCGAATAATGCCCTATTCGGTTAATCCGGTTAGTTGATTAGACGAATACCAAGAGCTCTAGTTCCTACCTTGACTTGGACAACATTGCTAAAGTGAGAGAGATAAAGCTCCAATGTATAAAGTAAAATCCTTTGGCATTGAATGTAAAGTTTATAAGCCAAGGATCGGAACAAAAAATTTTCAAAACTAATTAATCTATTATAAATTAATTAATTATATTAGGGTTAGATAGCAGTTTTACTATCACACAGTAAATAGTGCTCTGAAAGTATGGTGGGCTACGAATTCAATTTGTAGTTATTTTTTTATTGCTCTTTGGTAGAACCTAGTTGAATTTGTGACAATCTAAAATTCTTTGAAATTTTGTCGCCAATACTTTCATACAAACAAATAAGTCCTCTACTGTTTTTTTTCAAAATCTTTTTGAGTGTTTTAGTAAGACTCAGGTTCGTTCTGAAGAACGAGTTTAGTTTTCGTAAGCAATATCAAGTACATATATTTTCTATAAAACTAACTATTTTATTTCTATAACACAAACGATTTTGTCCTTACACATGGAGTTCTGGATTCAGTTTGGCATAAAAGAACCAGTTTGACATTCGAGATAAAATATTACGAAATATATTATTTTTGGCAATTCTTACATTTACTGCGGGCCACTTAAAGTCAACCTTACATTTTATTCTAATTATACTTTCAAGAACTTCGATTATGTATCTGTTGTCAGGTTTGGTTGGGTATTTGCAGTGTTGATGTAAGCCACAAAATTTTCTTTCTCCTCTCCACTGGATAAAAACTGCAGTTCAGTACCCGCTTTGTAGGGCAGAAAGAGAATAGATCCACGTTTTAATTGCGATTGATTTACACCTTGCACTACCAAAGTGCGTTGACCACTTAAAACCAGCATTATACCAGGAGATTGTTCAATTTGTAAAGCATAAACATTATCTTCAGGTCTCAAAGTTATTTGCGTGACTGCAAAATCTTCAATAGGTGGCTGGAATAACAAACGCTGATCATCAATGCGTTCGGGCTTGAGTATTATGCCCTCAGCCGTGGGACTTTTGTAATTCAGTATGTTGGATAAATGTTTGGTATCTCTATATTTTTTTGTTAAACCGACGCGTATCACATTGTCAGAAAGTGCCACGGACTCGATACAATCGCCAGATAGATAACTATGAATTTGGCCTGTATCGGCAAACATCGCCTGACCGGGTTTCAGACGTATAACATTCAAAAAGAATATAGAAATTACACCAATATCCTTGGGAAAGTCCCTTTTGAGTATATTGAATATTTCCAGTACATCAAATTTGCACATTTCTTTGCCAAAGTCTTTGGATATTGCTTCCACGCATTCAATTAAAGCATCTAAGTCTCTATCAAATAGTTTTTGATAGCAATTACGCAAACCTTGTTCATCGCCCGCAGCCAAAAGGTCGATGTCATCAGAATCGGCCATTACTAATTTTTTTAGTGGATATATATCCATTAACATATTCTTGATTTCGGATAGTGGCCGAAAACCACATACAGCCACGAAGGGTGTTAGAGCGATTGCCATTTCCGGTTTATGACTGGGATCTCTGTAGAATTTGGGCTCTCTTAAATGCAAGTATTCAGCTTTGTTTTTGTTCGGATGAACATGTAAACTTATCGCCTTGTTCATACTCAGCACTTTCAGCATAAATGGCAATTCTGTCGTTAATGTTTCGCCACTTTCTTTGTACTTCGCAACTTCCCCTGGGTAGGAGCCTATACATAGTTGGGCGTAATGCATATTTTCTTGGACCTTAAATGCCGGGTCGTTAAGTGCTGCCAGTTGGGCCACTATGGACTCATTACCTATTTTCCCCCAATCAAAACTGTAAACCAATCCAATTAGTTCCATAAATATTTTGAAAATATTATTGCTTAAAAATTTTAATATATTTGTTACGAAATTGTCTACTCAGTTCAAAAGGAAGATGAATAAAAAAAAAATGAAGGAAAAGTAATTGTTTACTTTTGATAAAATTTACTTTTCAGTGTTGTGAAAAACATGAGTACATAATAATTAAATTTTATGGTAACGCTTTTTGCAATAGAAGCAGCCGACTGAAAAAAAAACTACATAAATTCCTTCTCTTTTAATTTGATCTACAGGCTAAAAAGTTCGTACTAATAAAAAGGAAAACACAAAATTTTTGTAAAATTTTATTTTATTATTCAACATTGTTGCCATCGAAGGCAATACACCACATATTTATAGCGAAATTCCAACTTTTCGATGCCTTTTTTCGAAATTCGAAATAAGTCTCAGTCGCGCAGTTTACCTCTTCATTGGAATTCATTTGCTTCCAGCGACTATTCTATTGTAGTTTGAGAACATGAAGAAGTCATTGGCGGACCAAATTCGGAGAATATGATCGATGCGATGCAGAGTGAAAAGGTGGATCCATGACTGATCCATTGTCTCATACATATCTTTGAAAAATTTGTGTTTTTCCGTTTGAAGGGTTGGACCTGCTCCGAATCATTAATCCGTTGTTGTTTTCGGTCAAAGGTCATAGGTCTTTGCTGTTGATATAATTCCTGTATGTAACGTCAATATTTCTTTCAAAGTATACCTAGTTAGCCAAAGTCAGGGGTTCCTTTCGAAAATAGTCCACCACAATTACAAATTCGTAATTGACTACTTTTTGGTGAACTTGTTCTACACTGTGTTTGTGTTTTTTCCGTTTGAAGACTTTCCTCCTTAGCCAAACATAATTTAAGCCAAGGTATGAAATTTCTCCCAAGTGATTATTGTTTACCTGGCTCAAGTTGTCATTCGAAGTTTTAGACGTTATTAAAGATCAGTTACCAATAGTGTTTTTGGCAATATATTCTAAAGTAGTGAGTTTTCTTCTCAAAAATACAATAATTGAGAACTACTAACGCCTAAGCTTTCCTCTAATATTACTATTTAACTACACATCTTCTGTCAAGTCACAGTTATAAAGTAATCCAAAAAGCTACATTTTCTCCAATTAGACCTGGTCAAAACATTATTTAAAGAACAATAGCGTGTCGACTATGGTCTCATGGACTTTTGTTGCATTCTTTAAAATAATTAAATATATTTTGCTTTATTTATTTATTTTATTATATATCAATTGTTACATAATTCGATTATAGTCATATTGTGTTGATTATTCTCATGAATAAATCATGTATTAAACCATTTATCTATATTCACATATAGACATTGATATATTATACATATGTATATTAGGGTGGTGTAAAAAACGAGTGTTTTTTCACTTCGTACTCTGAACAATTTGTTGATAGACACCTCTAAAAAAGGCTCTCCAAGAAAAATACATATCTTGCTTGTGACTGCTTCAAAAATTCTTTGTTTTGTGTATTTTGTAGGAAATTGAATGCTCTACAAAATGGTCTCTAACGGGTTTTTCGTAAACCTAACCGTTTAAAAGATATGAACGGTTGAAGTTCGACTATTTAAAGGCAAATTAGTTTATTTCTTTTGAATTTTATAACTCAATGAAAATAAATCAAGCATTTGGAAGCGAGATATGAATTTTTCCATTTGATAATAAGAAAAATTAGAAAACCGCTAAACGGCGGACCTTCCAGTTAAACAAAAGAGCTCATACTTGGAGAGCCTTTCTAAGAGGTGTCTATCAACCAATTTTTCAGAGTCGAAAGCGAAAAAAAATTCGTTTTCTGTCCACCCTTATGTATATGCAGGAGCATACAATTACTTTGTATGAAAAGGCTGAAAGTTGGCTGTTTTACTGATTATGATTGCCCATTCAATACATTTCATGCATAACACAGTAGAATGACTTCATAATGTAAACATTAGACCTTAGGTATGGACCTTGAAAGTGTGTCATGAGTAAGCACACACGCAGCCGAACAAGAATTCTACAATAAGTGTCCATTGCATTAAACATGTATGCACGAGGGCTGCCCTAAAAGTTTACTAGCTGACAGAGGAAGTAAACATTTTTTTTTTAAGATTTTTCCATGCAACACATTTTTTTCAATAACTCTTAATAGCAGTGGCCATTAAACTACCCAAACAACTTTTTTCATTTCAAATAAGTTTTTCCCGAATTTCTATCTAACTAACCACTTTTCCAAACTGGAAATAGGAAGTAATCGGAGGGAATTAGATCAAACAAAAAAGGTTACATAAAAGCTTTTGTATAAATAAGTTCGAATTTGAACTAATTTTTTGTAACCTCCAGTTACTATAGTGACTATTCTTCAATTCGTCACTTATCTTTTTTGATTCGAGAAAATTAAATTATTCATACGCTAGCTTCCAAAAACTCTGTCAGCTTTTACACCATTGTATAAATCTACAAGTAGCCAATCCTAAGATTTTCACTAATACACACGCAAAAATATCCCACTTGGTACGGGTTGCCTCGAAAATTCTACTACTAAAATCACACTTGGTACGGGTTGCCAACCAATATTCTGCTACTAAAATCACACTTTGTACGGGTTGCCAACCAATATTCTACTACTAAAACGATCAAATGACAGAAATCTGCTCTAGTGTGTTGCCGTGTTATGTTTTAAAATTAATACCTTTAAGAATGTTTTTATTCCATATTAAAATATTTTTCGGTTGTTTTAATTCCTAAAGATTAAATTTACATAGTATTATTTAAATTATTATTTATTGTATTGAAATATTATTAAATGTTTCCAATTTTATCTTTTTTAACTTACATGTTTATGTTTTTGTGAGTGAAAATTCTTTGTCTGTTGAATATTTAAATTCTTAGTTTACCGGTTTAGTCCTGGGGAAACAAACAAAAAAGGTCTGTAACGCGCCTATATTACAACCTCAGAGGTGGTGAGGAAAAGCAATGGGAAAACTTTAGTTTAGCATCCCACGATTTCAGGGTTAAGAGGGGTATGGTTGGATAGACGAGATTCTCCAGATCACGAATATATATAACTATTGGCGCCGCAAACGTATAGTTTTCCAGATATTTCCATTTTACGTGCAAATTGTTACACTACAACCTTTTATTTAAAACTCTGTGTCAAAAAAAGGCATATTCGATCAGGTGATCACGGCTGTTTCACACACATAGGAAAACAGCTGATTCTTTGGCTACTTGTAGGCTTATACAATGTTTTACACTACTTGGGTGCATTGTATTCTATTTTATTCCTTTGACTTTTTCGTTTTGATGTCACTTACAGCTGAGAGCCATGGTGGCCAACTTGCCAACAGTTTTCTTATCTAACACACTATTCAAAGAAAGTTTTCTAAGGCTTGCTACAGAGCTGGCCATTAAATATTGTTCTTACATATTCTAGGGTCAGAGGTTTAAAAGCATTAATGGTTTTCAAGAGACTATCAATACTCGGAATACTTTTAGAAAATTATCGATGGATATCTCCGACATTACTGTATCTGTAAATTCTTTTAACCCTCTCATTTTGCCCTGAAGGCCTTCAGTTTCCTATCCTTACTTGCTGGAACATATCTAATATTTGTTAGTCTATGGTAAAATATCTCTTGTTGCCAGCTCTAGCTTTCTCTCTTAAAATCAATAACATTTAATAAACCGTTGAATACGAAAAAGGAGCTTCCTCATTTGTTCATCAGAAATAATGAACGTTCGTAAGTTTAGATTTTTTATCTATTATAATTCCCAGAATCTACCAAATGTGAGAAACCCACTCAGACGTCTGTCTACCCTTTGGTTGTCTGCATAAAAAGTAGTATTAAAGAAAAGGTGTTCTAAATTGTATACCTTATATCTTTAAAGACTAGTTTTATGGAGTACAGTTGCGATCCTTTTAAGACCACCCTCGTGTCCATTAGCCGTGTGTACAAGTACATAGTTTTAGCCATCGCTTGTATAATTCTATCATACATACATATTTACTTACAAGCGGTGTAATGTGTTTAACTAATGTACATAAAGGCATGTCATTGGGGATACTATGGCTATAAACACACGCCTATAGTCCACCCAACGCTCCATGTCCTTATCAATATCAACCAGTTAGTGTGGACAGTGCGCGCCTATTCAAGCGCGTTGTTCAAGGGAAATGTTTTTCTTTTTCCATTCCATGTCATTAATGTGGCGGCCTGTGTATTAGGCAATGAAAGAGACATCAGAGGTACATAGCCACGAAACAGGTTCCCGTGCAGCTGTCTTGGCATACACCTATTAAAAACGACTATTATACTGTTGGGAGAGGGAGACATTTGCTTTATATGCAACTGCCTCCACTTTCGCTGAGGACACCTTGATAGAGTCTGCTTTGTGCTTAATTTCCTATTCGGGATGAAGTACACGGCAGAGCCGTCGCTCATTGGCAATTACAGCACACTCGGCTAAGATTCCAAGCATCCAACGTTGCAGCGCTGCTATTCACCGGGCACTAAGGTATTCTATGCGGAGGTATATCGTAAGTTATTTTTAAACAAGCTGTCACTCAGTGCCTAAGTAATGCAAAAAAAGGGTAATAAGCACAACTGTAATGCCGTACAAATTATTCCTTTAATTGTACATTAGCTTTATTATGCATTTGCTTAAGTGCCCTTGGATGTCGCTATGCGCTGGGGAAGATCTGTGGCATGTTTGCAGAGCGAACATGTAGAGACTCATTTTAAAGTTGTGGCACTTGAAGTTATTTTTAAAGAAATCCCTAGTGGCGCAGGACTTGATTTTAATCAAATTAGTGATTCATCTTCGGAATTCATAAAAGAAATTATGTATAGATATATGTAGTATATACAGAAACACTTGATTGAGTTGGCCACTTGAAACGATATGTGCCGGAAATGCCAAAAATTAAGACCACAGAATTTGAAAAATAACAGTTCCAAAAATTTTCAAGTGTTGGAAAAAAAATGTGTAGTGATTTGATTGGTATTAAAATATTAAGCCCATAGTCTCCATGTGTAATATATAATACATACATATTATAAGCATAAAATGTACCACAATAAATGTAGACCAAAATAAGCAAAATGGACTTAAAACTCGTGTAATGTCACGACTGGCGATTTTTGGAAAATTTGTATCAATTGTTTTAAAATTTTAAGGTTATACGAGGTATGTTCAAAGGAAAAGGTGAATTTTAAATTGTTTTGAAAAGTACTTATTTATTCATCAATATCTATTTTGTCCCCTTCAAAGTTATCCTACTCGGATATAATACACTTGTGCCAACGCCTTTTCCAATACTCGAAGCACTTCTGAAATGCGCTTTTCGATATGGCCATCAGCTCTGATCTTCATGTCATCAATTGTGGCAAAACGCTTTCCTTTCATTGGTTTCTTCAGTTTTGAAAATAGGAAAACGTCGCAGAGAGCACCAGTCATCAGTTATGACCCGCTTGAGCAAATCCGGATAATTTTTGACGTCATTCAATAACTCCTGAGGGACACTAATGGGACATTGCTTTTGCTTTAAATTTAGCAATTTCGGAACAAATTTCGTGCCACACGTTCCTTTCTCAAAACATTTGAGAAAATTGAATGTCATGAGCCGATTGATATGCCAAATTTTTCGAGTTACACGAGATCTCACATGGCGTTAAGTATAGACCCTTCACTGCTGCAGTGATTCCCGTCTTCTTCGTAGATGAAATCTAAAAAAATTAATTTTCGACTAAAAGATATTGTCTGTCGGGGTATAACCGAACATTTTATACACTCGCAAAGTAAAGTGATATACGGAATTTTCGTATATGTTTTAATTGTAAATAGGAAGTATTGCATCCATTATTTACAATCACAGGCAAGAAGATGAACTATTATTAGAAAGATATTACTTCGGAATTTCATTTCAATTTCTTACATATTGACCGATAGAAGCGGTATATTACGTATATGGGAGCTAAGGGAAATATTGGCCTGATGTTATCCATTTTTGCACCATTGCATGCTGTTATCACAAAAATTTTCTCCACGAATTTCAACACTAGAACTCACAGACTAACCGATATATTCGGCAAAAAATCAGCCATATGCACTGGTGTCCACATATTTAGTGTCTGCCTTTTTAAAAAGTTATAGTTCGATTTTGACAGTTTTTGGGCGAAAGATTAAAAACCTTGAGGACACTATTTGTGCAAAGTTTTACTCTAATAACTTCATTGATGTTTGACTGTATACTGTAAAGTGAAAGAATCATAAGAAGTTTAAAAATTGGTTATATGGGCAGTAGGCGTGGTTGTCAACCGATTTGGCCCATTACATAGTGTACAATGCTAATAATTGGATAACCTCACACACCAAATTTGGTTAAAATTAGTAAAGTAGTTCCTGAGATATAGGATTTCATCTAAAAGTGGGCGGTGCTACACCCATTGTCCAACTTTTACACCGGCTCCCATAAAGTCCTTCAATGTCATCCTACCATGGTTGTGAAAGTTAATGCTTGTAGCTCTTTTATTCAGTGAGTTATCGCATTTCCAATAATTCTAACATAAGCGTTAAATTGGGAGTGGGCGTGGTTATTATCTGATGTAGTGTATGAAGAAATGCTGAAAAGACTTCTTCCCAGCAAGTTTAGTTGAGTTAGCTTGGAAGATATGTATATTTAACCATTAAGAGGGCGGGGCCACGTCCAATTTGAAAAAATATTATTTAAATAGATAAAATAATATATTAAATATTTATTTTATATAATATTACACTTTATAGGTTTTCGATTAATGGCGGTTTGTGGCGTGGCAATGTTCCAATTACGCCCCTCTACGAACTCGTCCTCACTTTTTTGCCAAGGAATATAGGTACTAAGTTTCATCAATATATAATATATAAATTTTAACAGTCACCCGGATTTCAAATCGTCTCGTCACCCTGATAATTTATATATCTGTACATAACCTTATATTTAACTCGATAATTTTTATGTGATACAAACAACCTTTAAGTGAACAAAACTAATTTACTCTGTGAAATATGTTGCGAGAGTATAAAGATAATTAGGCTGAGGTTTCTTTCTACGAGCCCCTCGGCGAATCCTTCACACCCAAAACATCAAATAAACTCCGTTTTGTTAATCGAAAATAGGTTTCGAAAGTCACTGTTTTCTCTCGATTGCGATAATAATAACCATTTGTGCGCATCGAAATTGAAACATCGTCGCTTTTTTTGGTTGATAACATCAAACCCGTCTGATTCAGTATACTGTTAAAGTTAGATAATTCTTTACATCTGCAAATCAGTTTGTTCGATTTGTCACTCTCCTAATATTAAACTCATGCATTATAACAACAATCGGTATATAATTTTTTTAAGCCACATACATATCTTCTTTGTATATAAGTATGTACATACGCAATTATAACAAATATGCAAACGAAAACTCGTGCAAACCAAAATAATAACTTTGCTGCATATTTTTGCTTTGTTCGAAAAACTTATTCTCAAATATAAAAAGGCTAACTAACCAAAAGCTCTTAAAAATATTTTTTAGATAACATTAAAATTTCTAATTATGCATATGTGTGTATGCGTGCATATGGATTCATTAGAAGCCGCATAACTTTGTTTATTTGCTCTTTTCCCTGCTTTGTTTATATCATAGAGGTAAAAGAATGCAATTTAAATTAAAACATAACCAAATGTTAAGTGCTCTTCTCAAGAATGACGTAAAGTTATTTTTATCGCGCTTCGGGATTGAACGAATATTTATGTGAAATCTGAAAATTTACATTAAGAAAACACACAAGCGAACTATTTGGTGGGGAGCACACTTTAGGCGGTCAAAACCCGTATCCCATACAAATACATGCATACCTATACGCACTCGTACATATATATGTATATGTGATTAGAACAAAATTTAGGGTAGATTAAGGGATTTTTATAAATTTTAGTTATTTTGTACTGAGAGGCATGAATGGCTTACTTCCAAAACGTTTAGATATTTTTCAACTGCTGTGTATGAATATATCGTTGATTTGGCGACTGAAACTTTGACAAAAACAAAAACATATACTTTTTATAAAAAATAAATTTATTTATACACAGCTTATTTTTGTAAAAAACTACATATGTAACTCGCAAAGAAAAAAAGTTAACTTTGGTTGCACCGAAGCTCTAACGCCCTTTACACATAAAAACTTTCCATAAAAGAACATGATTTAGATCGATCAGTTTGTATGGCAACCACATTCTATAGTGGTCCGATCTGAACAATTTCTGCGGATATTGTAGTGATACCTTGTATAATATCTTATAACATAAAAGTGTTTTCCATACAAGCTAAATGCTATAGTTTTCCGATTTCTGACAAATGTGCGTATGCAAAACTTAAGATCGATATTTAAAAAAAAATAAGGGACTAGTTCACGTATATACAGACGGACAGACGCATGACTAAATCGACTCAGCCCGTCACTTCATCATTTATAAAGATACATTTATATACATATGTATGTTTATATTTTCTATCGTCTCCGACGTTTCCTTCTGGTTGTTACAAACATCGTGGCTAACTTAATATACCTTGTTAAGGGTATAAAAATAAACTTGGAAAATAAGGGACGTCCTAATGTAAATACATACGTATGTAAAATAATATTCACAAATGAATTTAGAAAATTCTCAAGTCAATTTCTTCTCTCTTTAATATGTGTATGTATGAAGATACACTTGCCATAAAAAGTCAACGTACAAAAGTCTAATAAAGCAGTATCAAATATCAATGAAAATTTGAGATCAAGTTCACTGCCTATTTGTCAGAATTCAACCGTTTTGTTATGAGTGAAATAAATGTGTACAAACGAATGATAGTGAAGTGTTAGTGGATATAAAAGTGAAAAATATAAGTGTAAAATCCATCTTAAATTAAATAAAAATACGTACTTTAAATAATTGAAATTTTTAATTTTAAACTCAAATATCACATATAACATTCTCTATCTGCCCATACCCATATTATCCCAGAGATCCTGGGACGGTATTCTAAGTTTTCCCAGCATCACATTAAGCTAAACTGTTCGAAAGCACCATTTATTGCAATGCAAATCCAAAATAAATACTTTTTGCCCCTACACAAATACAAGCCATATACAGCGTTCCAATAAATAGAGTGATAAATGTGTACATATGTACGTAAATATAAACATTTGGCTCCAAACTATTTCTTTTATGTAACAAAGATGTATAAGCAAATAGTAGCTTCGGCATACAAAAACAATTTAAATCGAATTTGATATTCGCGGCAACAGTCGGCAAAGTCGGCAAAGCAGTAGCGAATCATATCTGAGCAGTGTTGTCAATACTGTTCCTCATACTTAAAATATTTGAATTTCTCTTTATTAATTAATTTAAAAAAAGAAATAATTAATTCATAAAATTTCAATAAATATTAAATTAATAAAAAAATAAGTATATTAATTACCAAATGTAAGATTAAAAATATATTACCAAATACTGCAAGAAATGACATACAAATCTTGAAGTGAGGCAACACTGCATTGTCTATCGATTTTTCAACGTTTTGACAGTTCTCTCATCCAGTGCTTTTGTCAGAGTGAAGTATTAAAAAATTTGCAAGCGAAATAGTTTTATGTGCCGGGTTTTACAGAATTAAGGTAGGTAATTAATAATAAAGCAAATAATATGTTAAAAATTTTGAGATTTTACTAAATTTGTAGGCAGCAAAATGTTTGGCACTTTGCAAAACTATTTGAGCGGTGTGCAACGCGCTTGGTCCGCGGCGGATGGCGACTCCTTGGCTTCCTTCATTTCACTCAAAGACAAACATATTATGAATCGTAATCTCTACGTGGAAAATCCAGAGAATACAGTGGAACGGATGCTCGATCCGCCAATTGATGAAATAGTGTGTGCGCATTTGAAGGTGCTGTACTACTTGGGCATGGAATGTGAGTGGAAATAATTTGCTACATTCTATATTTACGTATATATATATGTTTTATGTTTTTCTTCTCATTAAATATTAGCGCGAGACTTCATGCAGGCATATCGTCAACAGTCACAATGCATACAATCTGTTGTAAAAATGTTGCAACAGTTAAAAGAGGAGAATTGGTGTTTGCCCATTATGTACACGACTTGCTTGGATTTGCGTATATTAGCGCAAAAATGCGAGGATCTGGGCAGTAGTAGTAAATCAGGCGAAATTCTTGAAAAGGCCGCAGATTGCTTAATGAGCTGTTTTCGTGTTTGCGCCGCAGATAATAGGTACACTACATTTACTTTAATTTACAGATCAACGTTAACACATTCTTTTACCCACCAGATCTTCTGACGAAGACACTAAGCGACTTGGCATGCTCAATCTAGTTAATCAGCTATTCAAAGTGTATTTCCGCATCAACAAATTGCATTTATGTAAACCATTGATACGCGCAATTGATAGCAGCACCTTCAAAGACTCCTTCCCATTGCAAGAGCAAATTACGTATAAATATTTTGTAGGCCGAAAAGCTATGTTCGACTCGGACTACAAGAGTGCCGATGAATTTCTTTCATTCGCCCTGCGCAACACACCACACAATTTCCCACGCAACAAGCGTCTCATACTGATATACTTAGTGCCGGTAAAGATGCTACTTGGATATTTGCCAAAGAAACAGAATCTCGAACGTTTTGACCTACTACAGTTTCATGAACTTGCTGTAGCGCTGAAAGAGGGCAATGTTCGCAAGTTCGATGAAGTTATACAACGCCATGAGATATTCTTTATCAAATGTGGCATTTATTTATTGGTTGAGAAACTGAAGTTCATTGTCTATCGCAATCTCTTTAAGCGTGTGTACATAATCAAACAGACACATCAATTAGATTTGCGTGCATTTCAAGCGGCGTTGCAATTTGTTGGCGAGACCGATATGAATATCGATGAAACACATTGTATTGTGGCGAATTTGATTTTCGAGGGTAAAATTAAAGGCTATATCTCATATAGCCACAATAAGTTAGTGGTCTCCAAGCAGAATCCTTTTCCACCACTCAATACGGTTTCCTAGGAGCGGGTGATGCGTGGCGCCGAGCTGCACGGACCTGGATCGTTAAGTTATTTATAAAACATTTTTACACCAACTAGTAACTACGGTACTCTATAGTAATATATTTTATTATATTAATTATTAGATCTGCATGCTGTAGCTAGTACATAAGAACTGTTAATTAGCAATTGCATAAGTGTGAAACAAGAAAAGATATAAAGTACAATAAACAAGACGACTTGTTATTTTCAATAGCAGAAATGCAAAATGTGACTTTAGTAATTTCTGATAAATGGAAAAAAAAAATATTGGAACGCATCGAGAGTCCATAATGATAAAGTGACTTCTTAGATTCTGGAAGCTTGAAATTCTAAAAAATTAGATATGTGAATAAAATAAGCAAAAATATATTTCCATAACATATTTAAACGTTTCCAAATGATAGATTACACATATTAAATAAAAACAAGAAACTTTAGTTGCACCTTCACAAAAAAAAAAAGATTTCCATATAGGAACTAGATTTTGATCGGTCAGTTTGTACAAGTATGTCAGCTATGTATGTAGGTATATGCTATAGTGGTCCAATATCAGCGGTTCCAATAAATAAGCAGTTTCTTGGAAAGAAAATGACGTGTGTAAAATTTCAGATCAATATCTTAAAACTGAAAGACTATTGCGTTTATACAGACAAACAGACGGACATGGCTAAATCAACTCAGTTCATCACGCTGATCATTTATATATATGTACATACATATTAAAGGGTCTTTCACGTTTCCTTCTGGATGTTAGAAGCTTCGTGGCAAACTTAATATACTTCGTTTAAGGTATAATAATTGAACTGACATTTAAAATCACAATTTTATTTTTAAACTCAAAAATCTTAATTAAAAACTATTTTCAAATTTCTAATCCCAAATACCGGATTAAAAAACTAAAAATTAATTTGCAATCCCAAATACCGGATTAAAAAATTAATTTATCCCAAGGTTATAATTAATACTTCCCAAAATTGAATTTATAATTGAAAATCTAATTTAACTAAAAATTAATTTTTAAATTTCTAATCGCAAATACGGGATTGAAATATTAAAAAATAAATGTTTAATCCCAAATACCGGATTGAAAAAAAATTAATCCCAAGGTTATATTTAAAAATTCCTAAAGTTGGTGTTATAATTAAAAGTCTAATTTTTATTCCAAAATCGTGGATTTAGGTACCTTTCGCTCGACAAATGATTAAGATAAGGATTCCTAGCTGCTCTTTAGGGATATCTTCCTGAATCTTATAAATGACCACACTATTATACTAAAATACCATTTAGAATTTTACTAGTATGATTATTAATTTTTATTTGCGATTTCCACCATATGTACATTTGTATGTATGTATATCTGTAATTAAATTGTATACTTTTTAATTATCACTGCTGAATCGTGTCAATATTTCGTTTCCTTCATTTGCAGACATCCAAGAATTTTATGAACTAACACTGCTGGATGACTCGAAGACAATACAGCAGAAGACAGCGGAAACACTGCAAATCGCTAGCAAATGGGAACAGGATGGTCATGCCATAAAAATCGCTGATGTAAGTAGCACAAAAAAATTGCTGAACTTTGTAGCGGCTCGTTTTGTAATTTAATTTTATTATTACTATTTTTTTGTGCAACAATTTTAATGAGCATATCACATTTTTTTTTGTGGTTGGCATTAAGCCAGTGAACTTGCCAACTGTCGAAAACTTGCAATTCCAAGCAGAATTCGCTATATGGGATTTAAATTACATTATGCAACATTTATTTATTATTTTTGAAAATTAATGCTGCTATGGCACTTTGGTGGAGCTAGTTTACATTAAGCATTATTATTGTATGCAGCATTAGAGTAAATTGCAAACATTTAAGGTTGAGGCAAATATAATTTTCTAAGGGCGGTAGTCAAACATTTTTGAAGACTGCTTCAGTACGTATTGTTGTTGTTTAACGTCTTCTGAAAGTCGCCGAGGTATGAAATGCATTTGATAGATGCTGGAAAGTAGGATATATGAATATATATGAAACTGATTCCAGTCAAATACGTTTGTAGTATTTTTAATGTAGTAAACTCGCTGACTTTTATTTCGGCATCATAAATTATTGACCATTTAGTGAAGATTTGGGTAACAAATTGAGATTTTAAGATGCACAATAGATAGGAAAAACAGGTTGAGCAAAAATAACATCACCGTCTATTTTTTTGCACTTGAGAAATAATATCAAATGGTTTTATGGTCTCTGATTACGAATCTTGAAATATTATAGCCTTTAATAAAGCTTTGTGTTTTTATGCCTGATAATTTTGAAGCAGTTTTTTGTTTTTTAAATATATGCCATTTTTCTTAATAAAACGCTAATAAAAAACAAGTAAGGAAGGGCTAAGTTCGGATGTAACCGAACATTTTATACTCTCGCAAAGTCAAATGGTATACTCGTTTGAGGTTTCTTAGTGGATTGGCTGATATTTTCGGTAGAAGGTCAACTATAGGCACTGGGGTCCACATATTTAGTACTTAGGGGCTTGAACAGTTTTCGTTCGATTTAGACCATTTTTGGTCACAAGGTGGCATACTTTAAACGTATTATTCACGCAAAGTTTTACCCCGATATAATCATTGTTGCTTGATATGCACAGTGGAAAGTGAAAGAATCAGATGGAATTGAAAATGGTGTTATATGGGAAATAGGCGTGGTTGTAGTCCGATTTCGCACTATGACATAGAAACATGAAAAGAACGTTATGCATCGAATTTGGTTGAAATCGGTTAAGCAGATCTCAAGATATGGGTTTTCAACTAAAAGTGGGCTGTGCCACGCCCACTGTCTAATTTTGAACGCGGTTCCTATAAAGTCATCTCATACCATCCCAGGGATAAAATTTAATGTCTCTGACGTGTTTAGTGCTTGATTTATCGCGCTTTTAGTTGTTTTTAACAGTACCGTTATATGGGGAGTGGGCGGAGTTGCCACCCGATTTCAACTATTTTCACACCGTCAATAGAAGTGCTAAAAACATTTGCTTCCAGTGAATTTTGTTATTATAGCATTTGCGGTTTAGGAGATATGCACATTAAACCACGCCCACTTAAAAAAAAATTTAACTGCAGATGCCCCTCCCTAATGTGATCCTGTTTACCAAATAACAGTCTTGTATCTTATTGCGGAGCTTAGTTATGGCAATTTATTTGTTTTTAATTAATGGCGTTTTGTGGGCGTGGCAGTGGTCCGATTACGCCCATCTGCAATACCAACCGTCTCACGGTACCAAGAAACATGTCTACCAAGTTACATAAAGATATATATATTTTTACTCAAGTTAGTGCTTGCACGGACGGACGGACGGACGGACAGACAGTCACCCGGATTTCAACTCTTCTCTTCATCCTGATCATTTATATATATATAACCCTATATCAAACTCGATTAGTTTAAGGTGATACAAACAACCGTTAGGTGAACAAAACTATTATACTCTGTAGCAACAGGTTGCGAGAGTATAATAAAAAATTTCTACGTGAAACATTCTCTAAGTAATTTTGAGGAATGTTGCCAGATATATGTAAATCCATGGCCGGGTTATGTAGACTACACTATGGGTGAAACCTCCCTTGGTGGCTCGTAAGCCTTAATATCCATAGCAATGTCGTAATTATTACTTTTACAGTTTTTAGACATTTCAACGCGTTTATTTATATTCGGAATTCCATTTGGATATTTTGAGTCTCATTTAGCTGCATTAATTAATTTTTAAAATTGTTTGAGTTAAAAATACTCAAAATTTATTTTCAGCTATTTGTAAACCTTTTTAAAACCTTTTCCATTTGATACCGATTTTGTAAATTATTATTTAGTCTTACCAATTTTTAAATTGCTTCAAATATGCAACCTATGTGGTACCCTGCTTAAAAGTAATTTCAGGTTTTATTTTATCTCTTCAGTTCGTTATCCATATTGTACTTCTTTTTCTTTCTTTATTTTTTTTTGTTTTTTGTTAAAAATTTTCAAACTTTTGACTCAAGCTTTGTAAAACAACCATGCGAATATTCATTAAACAATAATAAAATATTGAAAATAGTTTAGCGATTTCAACAACCAACCAAGCCGATTTAAGAGTTTGGCGGTAGGAGAACAGCTCATAGTAGATGATTCCCTGTCGATCCCATCAACACGCAGCAACCCTTCCTGACAGTCAATCCTGCCTTTATTCGCTTCAGAAATGTTAACTTGTATGACACCCATACTTTGAGCTTCTTTACGTATCCAGCCTTATTGACCATATTGTTCCAGGCCAAATCCGAGACGGGTTTTTTTAGTCATCGAATTTTATCCAATGCCTTTTTTTTTTTTAATATCTAAGCCCGGAACGCGATATTAATAACCATGGCGTATACGTTATCAGGCAAATTTTAGTAATATATTGAGGTCTCTTATCGCCTTGAAGATTGTATTATATTTTTTATATATGGCGCATATATATTTTATCGGTTCGTTGACCTTTGAGTACATATGCTTCTCAAGAAGTGCCACTAAAATATCTCTTTTTATTGTCAACCAAAGCGCTTGGTATCAGCTCAAGGCGTAATCATTACTTAAGTTGATCAATCCAATGATAGTGGAATAAAACTGTGAATATTGCAGTCAAATGATTTCTTTTAAATTTAGAATAAAAATATTGAAAGATTCGGTGAAATGAATGGTTTTGACCAGCAGCAAAAAAATTTAAAATTAAACTGAGGCCATTACAGTTTAAGCCTTATCAACAGCAATCCACCGATGTTGGTAAAATGTTGTGTCAAGAGAATTTATAGCCCTGTCCATTGTATGTGTATATATTATATATATCTGTATTCATATATAGCAAATATATTTAGAAATTGCCACAATTTAACACGACACGCGAACTGTTTCTGGATCGTGTTTATTAACGATACAACAACATTGGCAGAAGAGCTAACTTTGGCGGTTTACTATGCGTGATTGTGGTTACTTTGCAAACGATTCAATGAAGTGTTCATATGTACATGTGTATATACATACATACACCTCTTTGTACACTCAAAAAACGCAAAAAAAATAAATTTTCTACCATAAATAATATATATAATTATTTTTCTCAAATCGTGAGCTCTAGGTATTAAGGACAACTAAAGCCCATTTGATTCCAATATACAATATGTATATATGTATTTTTTAAGATAATATATATCTTTTCATAACTTTCTTCAGAAATAAGCAATATTTTCCATGATATATTATATCAAAGCTTAATTTTCTTCTTGCTTGGAATCAAACAAATTAACTCAAATATTTTCAAGTGTACTTCTTGTGAAAGTAAGTAAATATGTATGTAATTATTTTGAAATGTAATTTAAGCGTCACTCTGACGTTAAAATGACGTTGACCTAGTTCCGTTCAAACGGTACATGCTGCACATTACTCTTCGGTGCGTTCTAATTAATTTATTGCAACCCTTAACGATAACAACAACAAAAAAAAGCTCAAAGAAAACATGTAATATATATTTCTGTACAGGCACATACATATACATAAGGCTACTTTCCTGAACGAATTCATGTAATTATGGGGAAAATTGTGCGTCCGTTGCTTTTGAGGCACTTTAACGGTTCTTTAGAAAAATTTTCACTTATTAAGGTTACTTAAGGGGTTACATGGGTTTCACGGCTTCAAAACATAAAAAAAATTATTGTCTTATTTATTTCTATAACATCTCTAGAATATTGTCCTAATTCTCAAGTTGATACCAGTAATAGTAGTCACTTAAAACTTTAAACACGTTTTTCTCGAAACTGTGTTTTCAAAGTCGGTTGTCAAGATTTCTCACGAGCTACTCAACCGATCTTAATGAAATTTTACCCCTTAATAAAGAATAAAGATATGTTATGAAAATATTTATCTTAAATTTTCTGAGATTATAGCATTCTCTTGGGCAATAATACATGCTAAATTTCGCGTTGATATCTTGTCAAATCAGATTTTGAATACAAGAGCAGCTTGGATCTCTATAGATCCAATATCGGCGTTTCCAACAAATGAGCAACTTCTTAAGGAAAATAGGAATAGTGCAAAATTTACATTTACTAGACATACTTTATAGGATCTCCCACGTTTCTTCTGGGTGTCACAAAATCGGGGGTAACTTAATATAACCTGTCCTGGGTATAATAACCTCAATCATAGTATATGCACAAGAAAGTACGAAAAACAAAAAATTTCTTCGAAAGTAGAGTGGCATGTCCAAACTTCGTACGCTTATATCAAATATAAGCAATTAAGAATACTTCTTTCACTATCTAAAGAACTTTTGCACACGTGTGCATAGAAATATAAACAAAAAGTCTTTGAAACACCAGTCTCAGCCCCTCCAGTATGCTAGCAGTTGATGACCATTTAACCTATTGAGTCATAGTTTCTACAGGATAGAAAGTGAAATGCAAACACTACAAAACTTTTTGAGAACTTGGCAAGTAAGTGATGCATAAAGTTCTACCTAAAACTCCTACGACATTTTCCCGTCAAAACTTTAACACTTTCACGGAACGACAATGAATGTGTATTTATGCGTGTGTATAGTGTGTGCACACTACAAGTATGTATGCAGGTATGTACATGTGTAGTGTGTTTGTAACGTCACTCAACGATTTTTACGACATGCTTTCTGCTCAAGCCGACATTTGTCTATATATCACTCTCCCCGCAGCAATAATTCAGGCAGCTGTCGTTAACTTCAAAGCAAAAGAACAAGAAGAAAAAGGAACAATATTTCTCGGAACTTAAGAAATTACTTGATTTGGTCTGGTCTTGAGTTGCGTAACACCAAAGTAGGGGTGCGGGAAAGTAGGTGGTAAATCGTCGCACCGTCGCGGTGTGCAAAGCAATTTTTTTTTTCAGTAAGAACCTTCAAGTCTGCATTAAGCCACTTTAGGTGACTTCTGTTGCAGGAAACTTGCATTGGAGGTGGAAATGAACACCCTCTAAAAGTATACATTTATTCGTATGTGTATTCACATTTGCAATTTATCGATTTTATGATTATAAAATTATTTTACAAAATTTCATTTCATTTTATAACCACATTTGGGGCGTGCAGTCGTAAATGTGAGGGGGGTACAGTGCGGTCTTTCGTTACATTTCGTTTGCTCAGTCAGTGTAATGCAATTTGTAAAGTGTCCACTATATCAACTGGTACTGTGATACGGTCGGCCGCTTAATGCTCTGATTGTTGCACCACTTTGCAAAGATTTGTTGCATAAATACATACTGACATGTGCACATACATATTCCGGTGCCTACAAATACATGTATAAGTAAAAGTTCATACAATATGGATTTTATAGTCGCTGCAAACTTTTTAAAGATAATCAAATATATTGCAACCAGATGCTTAACATATACAAGTATATTATATACATACGTGAATATACAGTCAACGCTGGTTACGGCAGTCTGGGATTTTCAAAAAATCGTATTTTAATATTATCTTCAGGCCTTTACTTACATACTTGTATATTGCTCAATATTGCCAAATAAAGATATATGTAGTAGTAATTCCGATTCAGCCGCATATACAGCGTCTCCCCAGATTAGGCCCTTTTCTTTTTTAATGGCTACGTCAACAAACAAAATTTGGGGTGAGTCCAATCCTCGTGTGGTCCAATTAACGCAATTGCATCTCCAAAAATTGACCGTTTGGCGCGGATTGTGGCATCATCGGGCCTTTTTTCTTTTGAAATGAGGCAGGAAATGTCGTTACCATCAATAGCAAGCGTTGTAACACGATGCAGAGCGACTTTTTTTCCTGAATTTGATAAAACCGAAGCGGACGATGTCTACTTCGAACAAGACGGTGCTTCCTCTTTTAAAATCAGCAAGTTTGAAAAAAATCAATGAAGAAATAGCAACAAATATTCACGAATCTTACCACCTCTAAATGAATAAACGCCTGAAAGTCCCCTACCATGTTGACTATAAGCATATAAATACAAAGTATAAGCAGCTCTAAAAAAAGATAACAAAGATATAGAATCATTAGTTGATCTTAAGTTTCTATGATGAACACATTGCGTGCATAGTTTGGCGACTCGTTAATTTCGAGAAATGGCCCAGTCAAATGGCTGCCAAGATGCGATTTAATGCCTATAAATTATTTCCTCTGAGGGTATCTTAAATCAAAGTTTTACTCTAATCAACCAGCAACGCTCGAGGAGCTTGAAGAGAACATTCAGCCCACTATACCCGAAATTCCAACCAAAATGCTCCACCGAGTCATCGAAAATTGACGTAAACAGGTGGAGATATTTGGTCGACATTTTGTTAAAATCATAAATGGCATAAAATAATCAGCATAACAAAAAATACAGAACCCATTTTGATCAAATTTAAGAATTTTATTTGATTTTAACATTACGTGGTTCTTGTTGCTAGGCCTTTAGAAAAGACATTTGACTTCTTTAATACTTCCCATCGTAAGATGCCGAAGTATCTTGTGGAAGAGATATCTTGGCATTCGTAGTTATATTATGGCTCAGCTACTATTGTTTCAAAGTTAAATTGACTAATTTCAAGCCATGTCTTGGGAATTTTCTTATTGAGTACTAACAAGTGCTTTTGCATGTATCGTGTTTCGTTCATTCATTTTCAGTAAAATGAACTTGGCTCGATGAAAACAGATTTTGTCCATGAACTGAAAGGCTGAATTTTACAACTACCAATTTCCTTGAACCAAAAGGACCTAAAAAGTCTCCAACGTCCAAATTTTTAAGCTTGCATGGATTTCTTTCGGTTTAACATTATGACAGAATCGCCTACGATGGCACCACTATCGCAAGAGAAATTTACTATCGGGAAGTACTCATTGTCAAAATTTCGACCGAATTCGACTTGTTTTGTTTTGACCGTGTATGAAGAGGTCATGACCACGGAATTGAGCAAAATGGCAAAATTGTAATGTCGGTTGGTGATATGATTTTTTTTTTTGGATAGACATCCCCACAGCTATTTTAAAGATGCTATAGAGACTACTCCTTCTACGTCGTTTCGACGAAAAAGTGACGAACTTGCTCCAAAGAAATGTTCTATGGACTGGAAAGGTGATGAACACAGTTTTTTTGTGATTCACAATCTACATCGACTATCCGAAGAAGAAGCGCTCAACCACCATGACAACGCGTCGACTCAGACCTCCGTCACATTACAGAGCGTCATTAAAATATTTAATGCTTTTGTGCTTCGACAGTTACACTTATCCGAGTTGTCTGTACTCTATATACTTACATAATATATCCATACATATACATTTATCACACCGCATATAAGCAAAGCAACATTTCTGCTTCAACTACGTCCTTACAAACATACATATTATATTTACTTAAGTGCTTAACAAAGTGTACTTGGCTGTGGGGGAAAAGCCCCAGTCACGGAAAATGCTTATATGCAACAGTGTATTGTACAAGTACATATTATATATGTATTGGTATATGTATGTATATGGGAAAATGTGCTGGAACGGATGTAAACATAACCTATTTGGTATGAACAATGCAAAAGTTGTTGAGTACATAATCGCAAATGCTGCGAAGAAATTAAATTGAATTAAATGGCTGTTAGTGATGGATTAGTTTTACATCAAATTTTGTTACGAATCATTGTTGGGTAATTATTCAACTATGGTCGTTACATATATGGCAGATTACATAGTTGTAAGTAAAAGAATCGTAAACTTTGCTCATGTCATTATTAGAGCACTAGCAGATTGTACGAGAGATTTATTTGAGCAATATATTTATTAATAAGCCGCAGCTAAACTAGCTTTGATAGTTGATGCCGGAAGGATTGAATAGACATTTGCACCTCTTTATTAATGTTAATCGTAGTCACTTGGGATTTAATACGCATAGCACCAGGTCAATGCGGCTTTCGTTCCTCAACAGGTTCAGTATGAATGTGATATTGAGCGTATCTAGAGCATAGAAACAAATACGAAAATTATACCTTAGACGTAGTATGACAAAAAGGAACTAAAATGGGCATCAAAAGTCGGTGTCAAATTGACATCCACTGCTAGTTAAATTAGAACTGTCCTGGCACTCTCTTTGTCAAATTTTGATTGTCTTTAATAGGGTGGAGAGTGCTAAATCGAACAAACAGCTGATATAAATAGTACAGACTGGCACTCAGTTGTTGACACTTTATTCAGTTTTTATAGCCTGAACAGGGTATATTAAGTTTGCCACGAAGTTTGTAACATACAGAAGGAAGTATATAAATGATCAGCATGACGAACTGAGTCGATTTAGCTACCTCCGTCAGTACATAGGTACAGTCGGTCTGTCTGTATATAGGCGAACTAGTCCTTCATGAGATATCGTTCTGAAATTTTGAACATTTGTGTTCGTTTTTATTCAGGAAGCTGCTCATTTGTCGAAACCGCCGATTGGAATTAAGTCCTTGAATGGGAAATTTTTTATTTGACAAGATATCTTCATAAAATTTCACAATTCGAAGAAAGGACTACTATAGCAGATAGCTATATTATAACAAGTAGAGAAGTAGCGCTTTAAAACTTCTTGTCAGAAGCTTGCTAAAAAACAATTGATCTAATTACTGGATATTCAATGCAAAACAAATTCTAAAAAGTATTCTTTAGTTAATAATGCTTAGAAGTAATAAGGACACATAGGTTAAAAAGCAAACAACCAATTACACAAAATTTTAAGATTTTATATTAATTTGAGCTTATAAAAATTTTATATGTGTGTATTTTTATTCAAAAAAATTTTTTCATTTGAAATCTGTATCAAATTGTTTAATTTCAAGAAAAGTACTCATATATTGAATCTGAAAATAATCGATATCGAATAAATCTATCTTAAAACCTACTCGATACTTATATGAATTATAGTCACAGTTAAATACATAAAAAGTATATATATATTCTTTTAAGTTTCACCGTTAATAAGTAAAAAACAAAAGCATCCTTACATATGCCCCTAATTTGATCGTCGATACATTTATTTATCGATTAATTTTGTATATTACAAAAAATTTCTCTAAAGAAAATTATATGTCTGTACATCAATTTGATTTCTCCCAATTTCTTCTTTTCTTTCTCTCTGTACTTCTTCCTTTACTCAATCTTTTTATTACAGTTTATGAGAAATTTTAATCGAAATTATGCATTTGCCACGGAACCAATATCCGATCCCAAACAATTACATTCGATAATTCCGCTCGGCGATGACACTGGTGTGGATGAGTTGCTGTTGGTAAGAGATTTTTCGCTGCCTAATTACTTAGTATACTCGTCTATGTACGATTGAATGTCCTGCTTGTCAATATGTTTGTGATTTAGTGGAATGTTTATCTTTTTCTCGGAATATACAACAACATACACTATATATACATATATATAAATATATTGTATATATATATGTCTATATTTTCATATACTCTCTCACATAGCATAAATACCTTAGGTATTTATGTGAATAAATTTTATTTCTTATATACGAACATGCATACATATACAAATATTTATTGCCTTGGCTTTTAATATGCTTTTCGTCAGTTCAAAAGGGTAATTTTAAACTTTTTAAACTCTCTTTTTCTCCTTAAAATACGAATGGCCTCCATATGTCACACTTCACATACATATTTACATTTATATATATAAATATGTATGTCTTTTTTATGTTGTTATTCGTCTTTATGTACAAGTATTTTATACAATATACATATATACAAATATATATACCATTATCTTAGAGATATTTTATGTGCGTCTAGCACGCAATCATTGTTTTCTTGTGCCTAATTTCATAAGGATGGCAATTCCTTTTTCTTCTAGAGTTTTGCTTGAAATTTAATTAAAAGCGAATGCCGCAAACACTCACACATAAACACTTAAATATAATTATATACATACATACATTCATAAATGTTATGTTTGCACTTTTATTAATAAAGTATTTACATAAATATATATTATTGGATAGTAACACGATCCGTGTGCATGTATATATGTATATACATTAGGGTGATCCAAAATCGAACCTATTGTATTCAAGGGGTAAAGTGAACCTATATGCAAAAAAATATCCCAGCAAAGAAAAATTTTTGGCATAATTTTAAACGGTGTCTGTGATCTGTAAGCATTCAAACTTTCCCATATAAATAACACGTAAAAAAACTTATTTTTTAACAATAGCATAACTTTGCAACCGTTTAGGATAACATTTTTTACATTTCGAATGCTTTTAGAAAGAAAAATTTTACTAAAAATCTATCTCAGGGATTTTTTTCAATTCAAAAATTCGTATATTTGAATGCTGTTAAAAGTGAAAAAAAAATCGAAAATTTAATATACAAGGTGCGTTCCAAAGTAAACAGGACTTTAAAAAAAAAAGACAGAACAAATGGTTTTATCGGCAATATCAATTAATATTATTCAACATAGTCTCCTTCTGCTTTAATACAGCTTTTTGCACGGTCCAAAAGCATGTCGAACGAGTGTTTTAGCTCGTTGCCCGGTATGTCCGCCAGTATGCCGGTGCAAGCCTCCACATCTGCATAACGCTTTCCTTTCATGGGCAAATACATTTTTCCGAAAACGTAGAAGTCGCACGGTGCCATATCAGGTGAATACGGAGAGTGGTTGATTGTTAAAATGTGATTTTTGGTCAAATAATCGGCCACAAGCGGCGATCGATGAGACGGCGCATTATCGTGCAAAAAACGCCAACTTCCATCTTCGCGATATTCAGGCCGAACACGTCGAATACGGCGCACCAAACGCTTCAAAACTCAAAGGTAGAATACCGCATTAACTTTTTTGGCAGGTGGAACAAATTCTTTGTGGACAGTAACCTTGGAATCATAAAAACAAATCAGCATTGTCTTCACTTTTGACTTCTCCAGGCGCAGTTTTTTGGGTTTCGGCTCATTTCTCATTTATGTTCTCACGACCACTTTGAAAACGTTGAAACCACTCGTGCACTCTGCTACAGGATAGGCAATTATCGCCATAAACTTGTTTCATCAATTGAAACGTTTCGGTAAAAGTTTTACCAATTTTAAAACCAAATTTAATGTTGGCTCTTTATTCGAAGCTCATTTTCGCACCGATGACAAAAACATCCTGACACTTAAAACGCAATAACTTCACTTCCAATAGATGAAATGTCATGAAATTTTTACTGGGAGTCGATAAAGGATAGCAGATTCTAACGCACTAGTCGACATATAGATGGCGCCACTAGAGTTTACTTTGTTATTTTTTTACTGTTTACTTTGGAACGCACCTTGTAATAGTTTTTAAATTTATCTTCTTCATTTATTATTAATGTTCCGACTAAATATTGAAAAAGTCTGGTGATAACTTCAGTTGCTCACAAATTCCAGCGATCTCTTATATCTTTTGAACGAATCGTCTTAGTTTTTGGACATTTTCTGCTCTACAAGAATGTACAAGAAAGACGTAATGCAAAAATAACCTAAACGGTTCAAAAGTTATTCTATATTTTTTGAAAAAATATTTGTTTATATGAGAAACTGTGAGTGCTAACAACCTTGTTAAAATTAAGCTAAGAATTTTTCAATGCAGAGATTTTTTTCTCTGTATATATTTTCATTTTAATCTATGAATTCGTTAGGTTTTTTGGGTGACCCTAATATACATTTATATTATAAATGTTCTTATTTACCTATGTATGCACTGAGTCATTAGATAGCCATTAAGCCCCACACTACGCTATTACGAGCTCAGCGGTGTGGCGCTAGTTTAAGTGAATATCCTTGTACACGTATACTTTGCATAATTATGCGTAAATAAGCTCCGCAAAAATATGTTCGCTTTGTACGATTATGAAGCGAAAGTGTCTCTGACACTCGTGTTTTAGAGCAAAATACAAATTTCGGCATTCACAACGTTTTGAGGGCTATACATATTTTTAGAATCTCTTTCGAACAGCCCAGCTTAGCAGAAGCGATATCACCCCTAGAAAGTCAATGTAGATGGACTATAATTGGATAAACTCTAATTCTAATTGTGCAACTAATTGTGTCTCCACCGAAGCTCTTTTTGAGCCGTGATCACGAAATAGCATAAGTATTCGGTTAAAATTGAGAGAACACGTATCAAGTTTATTATGTGAGTAGAAAGGTGTGCCAAAAATGCATATTTTCCAAAAACTATCACTCACTTTAGTTGAGATTGTTGGAGAGATTTCGGAGACCATAGCAATGAATTGTACCGTTCATTTACCCTTTGGAACTACCGGCGTTAGTATTTTGTTTTAATTGAAATAATATAATTTTTAAATATTCTAAACCTATGCCGAACGATATCCGTGCCTTAGAATTATGATCCCTGAAATCAATGGGAATGATGTTACTTGTATGTATATACTCCTTTCCTGTACCAGTCGGTGCTTAACAGATCGACCGACATCTCATATGGGAATCCACGATCTTATAGATGTGACCTCTATGCCTTTTTGGTACATACTAGTTAACAGTGCAGCATTGTCAGACCAAAAGTCTTCATCTAATACCCATATCGTTATTTCTTGGCCAAATAAGTCATGATCTCCTTAAGCGGTAGAAATGGAACAAATAAGGAAAATTAAGAGTGTTCTTTAGTATAATGCCCTTATTAGCCTTTTCCATAATTTCCATTGAATTTAACTTCCTTAGCTATATTTTACGATTCTATCCATTCTTTGGCTTTTTATGTCATTTAGCTGTTCAATGACCAATACAGAAACAAAGTTGTTAAAAACTTAAGAATTTACTAAGTGCCGTTCGAAGTAGAATTGGAGCCTCTCTTTCAAACTCTAGTCGAGATAGCAACAATATAGAATATTGCCTACTATAATTATAATGCTACAAGCAATAAATCTTTTGCTGTTTGTCTGAATTTTATGAGAAAGATATAGAGCCCTACAAATTTCAAGCCGCCGTGCGTACAATTTTTAATTTTATTTCGGTCGGGAAACAATACAACATTCGTATATTTACTGTGCGGTTCCAAGTTTCGCCGTGAGATCTAAACTTTTCTACGTCTACAAGTAGTAACATGACTAATACTCGTATGTTAATTTGTAAGATTATGATCAAAATTAAGAGAGTTTTTCTGAAATTTGGCTCAAATAAATATTTTTAATTTCTTTTAAAATAAAAGTACACTTTGTCCTTTTCTTCACGGTTACCAGTATTCTTAGCTTTAGTTGTGTAAATATTGGCGTTGGAGTATTTGAACGGAAATACAAGAATACAAGAATTGAGTGCTACACAACAAACGAAAAGAAAATAGCGGGGGTAGCAGGGTATGTTGGCAGTTGAATGTATTTTTAAGTAACGGCCGGAAATTTCAAATATATTTACAGAGTTTCGAGTAGAAATACACACACATATTATATACAAAACCGTTAGAGTTTCACGGAAATCGAATCCCGAATAATTGAGTGAATGCGTGAACGAGTGCTTATCTGATTGAACAACTCACGTAATGTGTGGGTAAATGAGTGATTGACTGGATGAATGAGTGAACAAGCGCACGAATGAATGAATGCTGTGCGGAAATGTTCCAAAAGAACAACTACACAAACCTTTTGCGGTTATTAAAATGCTGGCAAAAAGTGAAAACAAAGCCAGCGTATTCTTGCACCTGATTTTCTAGAGCCTTCATGGCGAACGTTTGTATGTTATGTTGCTTTGCGGCAAGCATTTTCCCATGCACCCACATAGTACATACACAAGTTGGAAAATTGGTATTTTTACAGGCGTCAGCTTGCCGATTTCCCAGCAGGATTTTGGTGAAATTACTATTGATTCTATGCGTATGGTGTGGTGAGCGTGTATGGGCTTTAAACCTGTGGCAACCACAACAAGGCAAACATTGGCGAATTGTGCCAACACGTGACACAATGACTCCGCCACACTATGGCATTCTTGCTTGTTTTCGTTCAATATTTTCTTTGCTGCATTACAACAATCAGCAGTGACAATATTGTTGACAGACATGTAGTTGTTGTTGCTTTAGCAATTTGCTTGATACAATAATAAGGCAATATCAGGATGTGCGGCTAGAAATTTAATTACCGTGTACTCGGAAAGTATGTGTATGTATGCTCGTTGCGCTCAATTTTTGGGCCTACATTAGGGAGGTTCTATTTTTTGTATTCTTAAATTTAAATTGATAACATTAAACACATATTCTTGACATCAAGTTTATACTTTTAAATTAAGTTTTTCGAATCTTTTTTCC